CCGATAGGGGGCCGATTATATTGTGCATCCCTAGTATTTGTTTATAATTATTTTGGGGGTGCCAGCCAGGTATCCCTCCTGACAAGTAGGATTTTAGTTTTTTTTGTGTTGAGTTGTTATTTTTTTAGTCACACACTTCAACATGCAGACCTTTGTTTACACATAAGACCAACAGTAGAAAATGAGGTTTCACAGTTCTTGTATTTGATAAATGGCCATCCGAAAATAAACACAAATCCCTTCCCACAAAATAAATGTTCGTAAGAGCATGTGGTGAAGGGCGGGCTTCACATATGGCCGGGTTTCTGACCAAAGGCCACACAGCTCATAAATACTCAGTTTTGCTTTTACCTCCTAAAATCCACCCTGGTCACTGATACCTGTTATTAAAGTGTTTTACAACTAACTACTCAGAAACGCTGGTGACACCAAAGGTTTAAAGCCTCACAGCTTTGGAACTGTTTTCTATCTAAGGAAAACCAGTTGATTGCATCGACTCATCGACTCGCACGCAATCCCTCACACTAAGCAGGCTTGTGGCGACAGTGGAGAGGAAAAACTCCCTTTTAACAGGAAGAAACCTCCAGCAGAACCAGGCTTAGTGTGAGCAGCCATCTGCTGAAGCCGACTGGGGTTGAAGGAGACAGAAGCAGAGATACAAAAGGCAACTGCATTCTTCTTCGTCTCTACTTCAGGGGCTATGTGTAGAGCGCCCCCTACATGTTTGGTGGGAAACAGTTCAGTAGATATCAGCGGCTTATAGCCTAGAGCAGCTTAAAATATGTACGTTTCCAGTTTTTTTTTTCAAAAACTTTAATAGGCATGGCTTATAGTGCGTTCTTTGTTCCAGAAAATATGGTAAATGCAGGGGTTTCCGTCTCGCTCTCACCTCAGGCAGCCCGTGGTGTTGTTGAAGATCTCCCTCTCGGATGGGTTCAGCGGGATACTCTTGCACAGCGGAACCAGAACCTTCTCAGTTAAAAGTGGGAGTACTTCCACGGCCAGCTTCTCCTTCAGGTTGTCTCTGGAGGACAGATTCCAAAGGACGCCTAACGACCAACACAGCCTTGATCATGTCACCGTTTCCTATCAATACTCCAGTGCAGATACACTCCCTCCCTACCTGTAATGGTCTTCCAAAGCTCCTCATCATGTTGGTTCAGGATGTTCACCAGAGACGCCAGTCCGCCGGCTTCTATGAGAGCCACCTTGTTCTCAGCATTCTCATAAATGAGATTCCTCGTCGCTGCTGTAGCGTAACGCTGCACCTCTATGCTGTCGCTGGAGAAGAGGCGCACCAGCGATGGAACGCCACCGAGAACACGGACCTGGAAGACAGACAGTTAGCGCTTAAAGAATCTTCGCTTTCATCGCTCTTTTTTTTATTTGCTGACATCAGTGTTCCTGTAACCAAAGCTAAGGAATAAAAGCTGCAACCAATAGAAACAGTCCTGGTGCTCTCTAAACCTACAGTAGAAGCCCTTGAATTTGATGGGCCCTTAAACGGTCCTTATGGGCCCTTGGCTGGTCCCCTACAATTCCTTTTTTAAACATCAATCTTTGTACTAAAATATTCTTTGTGTCATTATTTGTGGACGTTAAGGTCTAAAGAGAAGCAGCATTTTCTGGTCAGACCCTGTAATTCAGTGAAATGATGCAGTTATGGGTGGGAAGGGGCATGTTGAATGGCTGCTAAAGTAATGCTGGTTGAAAAAACCAGACTTTTGAGGATGTCATTAAAAAAAATCCCATCCTGGATTACACTAAATTAGGGCTGAAACATTTAATCGGATTAATCGATTGTCTAAATAATTGTCAACTAATTTAGTAATGGATTTATCGTTAAATGGCGTATAGAGGCTGTAAATCGTGCCTTTAGCTGACAGAGCAACCTACTTAGAGCAGTTACTAAACAACTTGTAAAAAAATATATAAACATTTTGTAATAAGATTAAAAAACATTTTTTTTTCATCTGTCAATCTGCTCTACCCAGAACTCCTCAATTGGAAAAGTTTTAGTTTGACCTGTTTAATTTCATAAAAAGTCTTATTTAAGGAATCGTCCTCTATCCGATTATTAATCACAGAAATAGTTAACAGATTAATCGATACACTAAATATAGAAACTACTTTGCAGTTAAAACTGGCAAATAGTCTGACAGTTTTCAGGGTGACTCACCCTGTCTATTAATGATAGCTCTACATATCTGTTCATTGAGAATCCAAAGTGTTTCACATATTGTATTCCTTTTTGTTATTTAATAAGGTAAGAGGTTTCTGTTTTGTTAACTTATACATACGTAAGAGCGTAGTTATATGTAACAAAATATTTGGTTTATTTAGTCAGTTTTAATAACAAACAACAATAAAGTTATTATTTTTGTGAAATATGTGCTAAAGGAAAATCTGTTGCTATTTTAACCAAACAATATATTTTATTAAATAAACTTTCATGAAAAGAAAGAATGAGTTTTCCTCTTTATGTTAATATTTGTAGAAGATAAAGTAAAAAGTCTCAAGAAAAATCGATCTAGAAACATATTTCTGCTCCCTCTTTATGAAATTCCTTATATTGCATCCTTTTATTCTGAGCATGGCCATGCATACATACCACAGGAGTTTGGTTCCAGGTGCTCGAGGAACTAAATACTAAATATTAAGCTGCAGCTACATTTATGTAATTCAGATCATTCATACAGTTAAATTTTGTTCAAAGTTTTCTATCTAAGAAAAACCAGTTGATTAAATCGACTCATCGACTCTTCAGCATTCCCTCACACCAAGCATGCTTGTAGCGACAGTGGAGAGGAAAACAGCACCGAACCAGCTCCCATGTCAGAGAATGAAAGAGAGCCTACCACTCTGAACATCATTGTGTGATCACCATCGTTTTTTTCCTTCCACACGCGGATATCTAAGGGATACCCGCTGCTCATAAAGCCATTTTGATGTTTATTTTCATTGACTTTTGTTTTCTTTTTGCATTTTTTTTTGTTTTGTTACTTTCCTTTGTTTGGAAGCAGACTTCTAGGAGTTACTGTTTATCTTCTGTGTTCATCCATTTCTCTCTCTCTCTCTCTCTCTCAGATATAATGCAGTGATAAAGACAGAAATCAGACCAACTCTTCCTGATTATATAAATCCACCGTGGAGTTTTTTAAGGTGATCAGTCACCTTAGCCTGGGTGATGAACAAGTCAAGCATCCCTTCTCTGCCTCAACCAGGGAAGGGTTGGTAGTCATGTCCAGGAGATCCTCAAATATTTATCACGCCGTCTGATAATGTCCCCACTAAAGACATTGCTAACGAGGTGGTGGTGATTATGTAATCACCTGAGTGTCAAAGACATGTGGCCATATAAACACCCTGTTCATCCTGATGCGTGAACAGGGTGTTCATTATGGATTAAGACCTGGGGGTCCGTTTCTCCCAAATCAACCCTCCAGGTGTTTCCTTACATTTCCCGCATAGTCACTAAGGTCACCAATGGAATAAAGGCTGGTTTATGCTCAGAAACCAGTTTGTCTGCGTGTGTCATAGTTACCGCAGATACAGCCCCCACCCGCAGACACCATGGTGCACCTGTCCAAAACTGTAGGTGACCGCAGACCGTGCCACAGACAGGCGGCCTCTGATTGGTCAATTCTACATCTTTTCTACACCACCCGAAGCCAAAACACGCAGTGCCATGGCTTGTCACGTTCTTTGTTCTTTGTTCTGTTAAGTTTTCTTTTGAGTATTCAGTTTTACTTTGATCCATGTTTTCTAGTTTCATTGGTTTAATTCTTATTTTGTTGTGTTTTCTGGATGTACTTAAGTCCTTAGGTTTTTCTTTGTTGCTTTTTTGGGTTGGTCTTCTTTTTTCCCTAGCTCCCTTCTAGACTCCCCTGTTCACACCTGCTCCCAATTAGCTCATTAGTCCTGTCTTTGTTCGGTCTCCCAGATATACTCTCCCTGTGCAGTTCCTCAGTGCTGGTTCCCTGTCTTTCCCTGGCTCCTTGTGCATGTTTTCCCTGATGTCTCTAAGGTTCTGGTTTGTTTTACATTTTTATTTTTGGATTCCTGCCTCTGTTGCCTTTAAGAACTCAATTAAAACTACAAGAGCTCATCTCTGCCTCCTCGCCTCTGCATTTGGGTCCTCAAAAACCACAGCCAAACCTTGACACGGCCAATCTTTCAGGAACACTCACGGGTGAACTGTGTGTCATCCGGCATTGAATGAGGGGTGGTAAACAGCGAACAAGCTCGTCAAACTTACACACGGACACCCACAATCCTAGCTAGTTTATAATTGTCCCTCTTGCGTTGTGGCGGGAAATAACAGCGCAGACCACGCTTCAAAATTGGGCATAAATGAAAAATATCTGCGTCATACCTGCGACAAGCTCATTGCGACACACTGGTGCGGGAGTATAAATAGCCTTTAATGCGACACAGAGAGCGTTCAAAAGTAGAGAAAGCTGTGAGTATCTGTATCCAGTAGAACAACCAGACATAACCCAGGGCCGTCAGACTCAACCACATACCTGGTTCTTGGCATCGTTGCTGTGGTAACACTGGTGCTGTATATAAGCAGATCCCAAAACTTGTAGAGAGGTATTTGACTCAGAGAGATATCTGACAGCGGTGGGCATGTCGATACTCTGCATCCTAAAGGAAACAATAAAACAGAGTTAAGAACAGATGAATGCAGATTTATTAAATATGAATTTATAAGGCAGCAACCCTTTAGACAGGAGGCCTTCAACAGGGGGTCCACGACCCCTAGGGGTCCACGGAGGTACTGCATGGGGGTCCCGAAAGTTTTGGTTGATTACTTTTTTTTTGTATATTCCCCACTGCATTCTTTTCCACTAATTGAAACATCTTTAAATCCACATTAACATGAATTCAACACACTGTAGTAAACAGATAAATGGAGGCAGAAGATGTCTTTCAGTCATCAATGCACACATTCAGCACACAGGAGAACTTTCAAGCTGGACACCGTTTCATTCACAACACCTGTCCCATCAACCAGGAATCAGAATCAGAAATACTTTAATAATCCCAGGGAGAAATTACTTTAGTTACATTACACCATCTGTAATAGAGTGACTATAGGACCAGTTTGATATAACACAATTTCATACAATAAATATAATTAGGGGGTCCCCGCTCCATCTTGCCATCAGTTTGGGGGTCCTTGGTCTGGAAAACATCGAAGACCCCTGATTTAGCCATAGTTGATCGGTTTGCAGACAGAATGCACTTTAATCTGGTTAGAAAAGTTGGGTCAACGAGGACTTAGCTTTTGAGTAATAACTGACTTGACGCTGTCCGTCAATCACCTGTCAAACAAACTTTTTGTGTTATTCATAATTACATTACAGTAGTAGCCATTTAAAGTTTCCCCACTTTCCTTGGCTGGTTCCCTACTGTACAATTCCTTTTTAAGGTGTTGTTGAAAGCCAACAGCTCAGTCAATAGAGCTTAAAGCATTGCTAACACCAGTAGCACTATTAGCTAGGACATGTCCTTGTGTGTCTATCAACTTCAAAGCGTCATCAGGACGCTTCCTGAGCTTCATCTTCCGCTTTAGTGAACTCCAGCAGGCAGACAGTTTTCCCAGAGCCACTCCAGTTTTATCCTGCCTGGAATCAAACATCTTCTTGCTCCTTTTTACGCTTGATCCTGGAAGTTTCTTTCAGTTTTTTTTTTTTTTGCAACAACGCTGGTAGTTTCACACTAAAACTCACTCTGAAGTGCTTTGGATTGTATGCATGCAGTGGTGACATATAGAATTTCAACATATAAATTAAAATAAAAGTGAAATAATCTGTTTTGGTACCTTTAAGGCAAAATCTGCTTAGATTACCTGTAAAAACTGTACCTTTTCACTTTGATTAAAGTAAAGGGGTTCATTCAGTACTTAACAAGTTTTATTTTCTTCTTTTCTTTAACTTAAATAAAGAATGTGAGCACTTTTCAAGCTCTGTTTATAGCTAACTTTTCATGTGAATCTTTCTACTAAGTGTCTGAGGGACGAACAGAGGATGCTCTCTTTCATCCTCTTACACTGGAGCTGGCTCGGAGCTCATCTGTCTGACTGTTTTCCTCTCCACTGTCACTGTAAGCATGCTTAGTGTGAGGGATTGCTTTCGAGTCAATGAGTCGTTGCAATCAACTGGTTTTCTTTAGATAGAAAACTACAATCTGAATGTATGATCTGGTTTAACTGTCTGTAAAGTGCTTTGCGATGATATGTGTTGTGAATTGGCGCTATATAAATACCCCTGTATTTAACCTATCAAAACCTACCAGGTTGCCGTCGACACGTTTACAGCTAATAACTCAGAAGGCATGAAAATTACACCAGTAAAATGTTTACCAATAGACAAGTTAGACACGTTGGAAAGCTTACATTCTCCACAATTCAACCACCTAGTTCATTTTATGGACACAGTGAACACCAGAGCACAATTTACACAGATATAGCAGCATGTCAAAATGTACCATGGCAAAGCAGCCACAACAAGCAAGCATGTCTTTATTACTGCTGTTCAAAAAAAGACCGATTATTTTCAGAATAAAAAAAAACAAATTTGAGTCATGTTTGAACTGATGCAGCTTGGGCTGTGTTTTACTCACCCAATTTTCATGTATATATTCAGAAACTAGAAGGTTTTAGCTTTCAAATAATGTATTGCACCTGTAATTTGGGCTTACAGTTCCTAAGGTATTTGCTTTTCCATTTGGGTATGCAAGATAGGCGACAATTTCCCAAAATGAGGTGGATATTTACATCTATCTTTGTACTATCTTTGTTCTTTGTGTCATGATTTGTGGACATTAAGATCTAAAGAGAAGCTTCATCTCCTGGTCAGACCCTGTGATTCAGTGAAAGGGTGGAGTCAGAGTAAAAAAAATATGCACGCCCAGGAGAAGGCCAGTGGCTGGAAGTTGGAGGTAAGTAAGCTGTCATTCGACTGGCATCTGACTGGGAAGGGCCATTTTGAATGGCTGCTACTGTAGCTGTTCATGTCCAGCTTTAAAAAAAAACCCTGCTTTGCTTAATTGGTTAAAACAAATGACTGTCTTTGCCTGATCAGGATAAATGTGTCTCTAAAGGCCTCAGCAAACATTGAGCTTCACCGTGTCGCTTCTAAAACTATCCTGAGTTTGTTGCTTTGTTGTAACTGGCAGTCTTGTTACAGTAGCAGCAATTCAATATGGCCCTTCCCTGTCAAATGCCAGGGGAATGGCAGCAAACCTCCAGCCACTGGAGGGACCCCATCCTTCTCCTGGATGTGCTTTTTTTTTACTCTGACTCCATCCTTTCACTGAATTACAGGGTCTGACCAGGAGATGATGCTTCTCTTCACAAATCATGACTAAACAAATATTTTAGCACAAAGATTGATGTTTAAAAAGGAATTGTTGGGGACCAGCCAATGG